AGTATCGGACCCGCTTCTCACTTTTTCTATTGTCGGCAAACCTCAGCCAAGAGTTAAAGTTGGCGAACTGATAATGGAAGTTCCCGACACTTTACATGGCTTTCAAGAAGAATGGTTGTGGGTCGGCGGGGACTGGCAGTGCACCGACTTCGTCAATGATCTTCTTACCGATGGGACTAGTATCCCAACGGCTATTAAATCTGGTTATTGTAAGTTGTTTATCATTTTCTTCACTTCAATTATTAATATCTTGTTTTTTGTTTTCGCTAACAGGTGGACTTTTGTTACCTTGTAGCAAAGCCAACGGGAAAGAGTGAGCCCAAGTTTGAAGGTCTGCTGTACGATCGAGTGGACAAGCTGTTTGAAGTCTCTCATAACAAGCGATGATACCAACGGCTTGTGAAAGATTCCCGATTAGACTAGCTGGTTTATCTCCCGGGATACTTGACTCTTCGTTTCAACCAGGTAAACTTCTCGCTTTGTTTTATCCTTCACATTAATGAGGTCGGACTAACTTTAAATACTTTGTGACAGTCTATTATCCATTGCTGGGATACTTTGGTTTTGGAGATCCCGTAGAAGCAGAAGAACATCGGAGACGTAATCCGAACCTTGATTTGAAGAACAAAGTCGGAAAAAATAAAAATCTTCGATCAACCGAGATGGCTGGACGTATGAATCTTCTGAAAGCCTGGAAGAAGAACCCGAACCGACCTCAGGGAGCAATCCGTGAGCCTTCGACGACAAGAGTGGAGCCGATACCAGCTATCGTGAGCGAGCCGGTAGTTTCCGACATCACACCTCTTGACGTTGCTCCGTTACAGCAAGTGATGACACCGGTAGACGAGCCTGCTGCAGTAACCGACATCTCGCAAGAGGTATCGAAAGAGCCCTGCTTAAACATAGTACAACGGCGTAAGAGATCCAGCGTGTCACACGTGGCCGAGAGGATGAAGAAGAAGCCAAACACTGGCGCCGGTAAAGACAAAGAGGAAGAGCCTGAAATCATTCTGAGGGACTCCTTCCTCAAAGTGAATGAGAAGAAAGCGGCGGAGCTAAAGCTGCCAGAGGATGTGTTCGACCCTTGGTTTGCTATGTTCCAAACAGTCGCCGAGCCAAAAGTGATGATTAACCATTGGGTCCCCAGCGAGGCGGTGAAGGCGGCGAAGGTTCTATTAATGTCATGGGACCCAAAGACTCACGCCGGGATTGCGTCTCTCCCCGATGACCAAAAGTTTAGTTACGCCCGAGGTTGCTTGGGACGGGCGCTTGTTAGCTTTATTACTGCTGAGGAGAGTTATCGGGGTAGAGTGCATGAGCTTGATGAGAAGCAGCATGAATTGAGTCTGAAGGAGGGTGCCATAGCATCCTTGGAAGATGAGAAGTCCCGCTACGAGGCATCAATGTCGGAGAAGGATGCTCAGTTGAAAGCGGCACAAACCGAGGTGGGCGCCCTTAAGACGGAAAGGGATAACCTGTTGTTGGCCCATGACCTCATGTCAGTCCAACTGGCGAAAGTTGCTGAGGTAGCCAAAGAGAAAGACAAGCAGCTCACGAAGTTGAAGGCTGAGCTTCAGGCTGTCAGGAAGGATCGATCCGATAAGGATGCTGAATTAATCCAATGTCGTGAGGCTCACGAGATCGCCATGGGAAAGCTCCGTCAAGAGATGACAGCCGCCGCCGACCTCAAATTCCAAGAAGGCATTGACGCCGGCAAGAAAGCTGTGGCTGAATCTGACAAAGTACTGAACGCGGATGTGGTGACCGAATGGGATTTAGAGCTGAACGCCGCACTAACGGTGCGCTGGGTGATCGACAGAGTAGAAAACGACATCTACACCATCGACGAGCTATGCATTTTCCTTCTGCACAAAATGGAGAAGCATCGCCTCAACCCTGAAATAAAAAATGCCCATATTCCGGCCGACCAAGATGAACGAGACTTTGCCGACCGACTTCTAAAGCAGAAGGAGAGTCGGATGTTAGAATTGGACATGGCGCCGTTGTCGGAAGAGCGCAAGGCTAAGATTCGACGGGCCTTCGTCAATATGGTGCTTGAGGTAGAGAAGGTTAAAAAACCCGACTTAGCGAATATATGCGTTGAGGCGATTGCTGAGGCGTTCGTCGTCGAAACTTTTGAGGGCCTATCTGATGAGGAATTAATGGAAGCAATTACTGGCTTTGCCTCAAGGAAAGTGGCCGAGGACGACGCTAAAGCCAAAGGGTGGCTGACCGAACTGATTCCCTCCGACGACGATCCAGTCTTGCACGAGGACGATGATGTCGTCATTATAAAAGAAAGCGACGTCGTCCGAGCTATGGAAGAGAAGGAGGAAGAGGTAATGCAACGCCTGGGTGAGAGGTTGATAAACCATTTAGATGCGGCGGACAAGAGGAGAACCAAGATTGGGAATTCCCAATCTTCCACAGCCGGAGAGGCTTCATCGTCGGGGACCAAAAAGGACGAATGAAATTTGTTATCTGTTTCTGTTGTTTTTTTTATAGATATCGTATGTAATGACAATTTCTTATTATGAATGAAATTTGATGTTTTGATTTCGTGTTTCATGAATGTAATGTCTTGACATATTTATCGTAACAAGTCAAAACATGTCAGAGTAAAGATAAATGAATGTTTAGCAGATTATGCTTGTAATTACTCCGATGTGTTATTTGTCACTTACACTTTACCTTGTTATGATTTTGTTTAAATTTTTGGTGTCGGCATAATTTATTGTATATCCGACATCTACAAACTCTTTATCAGAACAAGTCGCAAAAAACTTGCTTTTATTGCAAACATTTATTGTGAGCTCATCAAATCAACGTCGGGATTTGATATTATAGAGCATAAGCCTCCCCAAACAATCTTCAGGGCTTGGAAGTATCCGGCTTTGTCGCGTTTGGCTAGGTCATACCAACTTCAGGATATGAAACACGTTTCGCCTTAGCAACGAGGACCGATTTATTGTGGTTCGAGTGATCGAACAAATTATAGTGGTTCGTCACACAAACTTTATTGATAACAAAACATGATTCTTGTACATGAGTAGGTCAAAAGGCTTTTACACATTGGAAACAAAGGTCCGGCCTTCAGGTTTACTGGTAGTACTTCTTGAGATAAGTCGCATGCCAAGGATACTGAAGGGAAATACCATCTAGGGTTTCAAGTCGGTAGGTACCGTTAGAAATCAGACGATTTACTTTAAAGGGTCCTTCCCACTTCGGTTGTAACGGGCCAACATTGGCCCCAGTGACTCTTTTCAGTACAAGGTCTCCTTTGACAAATGAGCGTGGCTTGAGTCTTGAATTGATGTACTTCTCACTACGTCGTTTATAAGCGGTATTTCGAATTTCAGCATCAGCCCGTAACTCATCGACCAAATCAAGACTGGCTTTCAGGTTTGCCGAGTTGGTTTCTTCAGAGAAATGAGTAACCCGATATGTCGGAGAAGTAAGTTCAACCGGTATCACAACTTCAGTCCCGTATGCTAACGAAAACGGAGTTTCTCCAGTCGAGTTTCTTGTCGTCGTGCGGTAAGACCAGAGGACATAAGGTAACTCATTAGGCCATGATCCCTTTGCGGCCTCGAGCTGAGTTTTCAGACCATTCTTGATAATCTTATTTACAGCTTCTATCTGTCCATTAGCTTGTGGATGATAAGGTGACGAAAAGAAGTGCTTGATGCCGTAATCTTCACAAAAGCTTTCAAATCTTTTTCCTTCAAACTGACAACCGTTGTCGGTTATGATGGAGTTCGGTACTCCAAACTGACAAACGATTGATTTCCACACAAAATCGATCATCTTTTGTTCCGTGATGGTTGCAAGAGGTTCGGCCTCAACCCATTTAGTGAAGTAATCAGCAGCTAATATTGCAAACCGAACACCCCCTTTTGCTGTTGGAAGTGGGCCGATCAAATCAATTCCCCATTTTGCAAACGACCATGGGCTATATATTGACTTGAGAAGTTCAGGATGTTGATTAACGTTAGGAGCAAATATCTGGCACTTGTGAAACTTTCGCACCCAGTCTGCGGCATCCTTTCTGATAGTCGGCCAGTAGTAACCTTGTCGGAGAATCTTGTGGGATAAAGTTTGAGCTCCTTGGTGGGTACCACAAACTCCTTCGTGTACTTCTTGAAGAACCCGTTGGGCGTCAATCTCTGACAAACACTTAAGCAATGGAATAGAATATCCACGCTTATATAACGTTCCCTGATCAATAGTGAAATGAGCAGCACGAACACGCAGAGTGCGAGCTTCTTTTGGGTCTTCAGGTACGGCCCCGGTTTGAAGATAATCAACAATTGGATCCATCCATGTCGGACTTGGGATTGGTAAAGCAGCATCAATCATGACAACGTCGGTAGAAACCGTTGAGGAGGTCGCCTGTTGAGTAATTTGCACAAACTCAACATTGTTCAAATCGATTGAAGAGGCCAAACGTGAAAGAGCATCTGCTTGGATATTAGACGACCGAGGTATATGTTCCAACGTCATTTTGAACCGTGACAGCTTCTTTTTTACGAGATCAAAATAAGGCAACAACCGTGGCTCTTTAACTTCATAAGTGCCATTAATATGGCTGACTAGTAACTGAGAGTCAGAAAATATTCGGAGAGAGGAAACATTCATGGATTCGGCAAAACGTAGACCTGATAAGAGGGCCTCATATTCAGCTTCATTGTTAGTGGCCGGGAAAGTGAATGCTACAGAGTAACAAAACACTTGTTGATCAGGACTAACTAAAACAATTCCTCCTCCAGCTCGCATAGCGGTGGACGACCCATCAATGTAAAGAGTCCATGTCGTATCTTCAATAGATGTACTGACAATTGGAGTAAACTCTGCAATGAAAATGGACAATACTTGGGCTTTGATGGCAGTTCGTGGTCGGTACTGAATATCAAACTGTCCAGTTCTATCGCCCACTTAATCATTCTTCCCGATGTGTCAGGTCGGTGAAGGACTTGCCTAAGAGGGTATGATGTAAACACGATAATAGAATGTTCTAGAAAATATGGGCGCAGCTTTCGTGCAGCAATGATTAGAGCAAAGGCTAACTTCTCCATATATGGATATCGCAATTCAACGTCATGTAAGGCCTTGCTAATGTAATATATCGGGAACTGTTGAAGTCCATCTTGTCGTATAAGAACAGCACTGACAGCAACGTCACTTACACCCGGGTACAAATACAAAGGTTCATCAGGAAGAGGTTTCTGCAACGTCAGTAACCGTGAAAGAACTTCTTTGATATTGTCAAAAGCATTCTGACATTCCACGGTCCATTCGCACGGCTTCTTCTTTCTGATAGCGTCAAAGAACGGCTTACAATGATCCTTCGACTTCAAAATGAATCGGTTTAGAGCTGCCAGTCGACCGGTTAAAGCTTGGGCACTCTTGCTAGATGTCGGGGGAGCCAATTCAAGTATGGCTTGGATCTTGGCGGGATTGGCTTCGATCCCTCTCTGACTCACCATGTATCCTAAAAATTTCCCTGATCCAACTCCAAAAGTACACTTCTTAGGATTATGGACCATGGAATATTCTCGGAGAATGTCAAAAACTTCAGACAGGTGAGCGATATGATCAGAGGCCTGTTCCGATTTTACTAGCATGTCGTCCACGTAAACTTCCATTGTGTGACCGATCAAACAAGCAAACATTTTATTGACCAATCTTTGGTATGTGGCCCCAACATTCTTCAATCCGAAAGTCATCATGACATAACAATAAAGACCTCGGGCTGAGTAGAACGACGTATGTTCAGCATCATCAGGGTGCATGGGAATTTGATTGTAACCGGAATAGGTGTCCAAAAAACTCATGAGTCGATGTCCCGATGTAGCATCCACCATATAATCAATATGTGGAATGGGATACCTATCTATCGGGCATGCTTGATTCAAATCTGAGAAATCAATACACAAGCGCCAAAGGCCGGTGGCTTTCTCAACCAAGACGAGATTCGATATCCACGTCGGGTATTTGGCTTCTTTGACGAACTTATTGTCTATGAGCTTGTTTACTTCCTCTTCAAGGGCCTTCTGGCGATCTGGGCCGAACTTTTGGCGTTTCTGTATGACAGGCTTGACAGTCTTGTCCAAATTCAAGCGATGACACGCTTTCTGCAGGTCAATTCCTTTCATGTCTTCATGCTTCCGAGCGAATACGTCGGAATTTGACTGAAGAAACTGAATTAAGCTCGACCGTAGAGGTTCTTGAAGATTAGCTCCAATGCGTAACGATTTTTCCTGAGTCGATCCATCCACGTAAATGGTTTCGACATCTTCAACTGGTTCCGCCCAGATATGATGACTCCCATCTTTAAACTGCATCCGTGGATCCATATCTTCGTGTATCCCTATATCTTTCTCATGAAAAGGTTGCTCTTGATCAAGGGCTTCAGTTAATGTTTCGGGCAAAATCGACGTCATAGGGACATCGGTATCTGCAAGAGAAATGTCGGTATCTGGAGCGAACTTATCAGTTCTTTCAGCATTAAGAGTTGGGTTGTCCAACCCAATAGAGTTATCAGTATCCTGCTCTTCAATCATATGAAAGTTACGCGAGGTTGAAAGCAACATCAGACTTCGGGCTTCTCGTTGATCTCCGTAATGAGTGCATTCTCCTTCAATGGTGGGGAACTTCAGGGCATAATGAAAAATTGACACAGCAGCACGAAGTTTGTAAAGTGCAGTCCGCCCTATAACAGCATTATATTCATTCCGGACATCCAAGACTTTGAAAGTCTCCATAATAATTTTGGATTTTGGTCCAAAGCCACCAAATCGAATAGGGAGCAATATTTCGCCGACAGGGCAAGAAATACATCCATTGAAACCTTGAATTTGGTCGTTGCAAGGCCTGATGTCTGCTGGGTCCAAACCCAATTTCTTGAAAGTGCGGAGCATCAAAATACTTGAGTGAGCTCCCGTGTCAACCAAAATTCGATGAACAGGAATCCCTCCAATCGGGGCTGTTATAATAAGGGCGTCGGAATGAGGATTAGCAAATAGATTGGCATCTTCGATACTGAATGTGATAGGACAATTCCGTTTATTGATGGTATCTCGAAGATCAACGTTCATGACTCGTTTCTCGGCGTTTTGTGCCTCCCTGGCGTAGGCTTTGGCTTGCCGTCGAGAAGTGTCCAGCTGTTTATTGTTAGAATTGACTCGAGGTATGCAATGCGAAGAGTCTGAGGAATCATGTGTCTTGTATTTTTTGCAGTTATCAGTTGAAGGTCCGACAAGAGTAGAAAATGTAAAAACCTCCTTATCGTTTGCGCGGGCTCTTTTTGGGTTAACAGGTCGGTTATCATCATCTTCATCATCTGAAAGATCTAAGGGCCTCCCTTTCCGGCGATTATCAAAATTTCAGAACTTTTGCAGCTGAGGTTGTCCAATTAACCGTAAGAGAGCTGACAAAAGACCGAGACACTCATCGGTATTATGTCCCGGAGACTTGTGGTATGCACAGTACCGAGTTTTGTCCAGCTTGTCTTCAGGGGTTCTCACAGGCCTTGGGTCTGTAATAATCCCTTTTCCTTTCAGTTCTTCATATATGGTAGCTGCTCCGGCTGAATAAACGGCCTGATAGCCTGTCCTGACGTTGTCTGAATACTGATCACGAGCGGCCCTAGACTCTGGAGTGTTTTCATATCCTTTGGAGAAATTCTGAAATTGTGCTTTCCCAAAGCTCTTCTTACTCTTCTTTTTGGCATCCGGTTCAGTCTTGTTTTCTTTCACCGAGAAGTCGAAACTGGGAACCGACTTCGATTCCTCGGCAATAATAAATTGTTGAGCTCGTACAAGGAATTCTTGAAACGTAGCCGGTTTGTTTTGGCATAGGGTCCAACGAAACATCGAGTTGGGCTTCAGTCCGGCAATCGTGGTTACTAACAGGGTCTCAGGGTGACAAGGCTCTATGTTTTGAATTCGGTCGTTAAACCGAGACACGTAGTCCTTAATAGTCTCGTCGTCTTTTTGCATGATGTTAGTAATTGATTCTTTTGGGATGAGACAAATTTGAGCTCCGATGAAGTGTGATCGGAAGGCCGCACGTAACTGTTGCCACTTCCAAATTGAATGAGGTGGAAGAGTATAGTACCATTTTTGTGCTTGTGGCCCCAGTGTAAGCGAAAACATCCGACATCTCAAAGCATCTGAGGCACCATGTAAATCCATCCAAGACGTATAATGACCCAAGTGTGCATATGGGTCCGATGTTCCATCGTACATGCCAATTTGTGGGATTTTTACTTTAGCAGGAAGTGCCTCCGCGGTAAGTTCTGGAGCTAAAGGTGAATCAGCTTCAAAAACAACATTTCCCGACGTCGAGACATGTCGGGGGAATCTTTCTGTGACTTCTGTTGAGTCTCGAGTTCAGCCAAGCGTTTACGGAGAGCTTCAATTTCCTCCGCACTGTGTCTTGAAATACGATTCCGTTCAATCTGGCGTCGCAAATCTTCACGACGATGAGGCATTGATGAAGTAAGTCTAGGACGTTACGGAATTCGCTGATGATGAGCAGAATGGCTTTCAGCAGTCATTTCCTGTACAGGGGGTTCCTCCGGGGCTTGATTGTTCGTTACTGGGTTAGCATTTATACGAGTTAACTCCTCTCGTCGTGGAGAAGTATGGTGGAGTTGTGACGTAGCATGGGATGTCGCCGCATGCGTTTCGGGGTCATGACGAGTATGATTTGGATGTTCTATTGGATTGGTAGTTAACGGCGTTGATAATGGCACCGTACTCGAGTTTCTGGGCATGGCTCGAGCTATCAGAGAGGTTAAACCTTGAATAAACTCCGGGTTTTGAAGGAAGTTCGTGATATTCGTGACCGAAGGAGGTGGTGTTGAACGTCGTGGGGAATGGTTAGTCGATTGACTCTGGCCATGATGAGCTGTATGATCTCGAGCAGATTGCGACATGATAACTTCAAACGCGAAAATGGCTTTAACAACGAAAGTTAACCTCAAAACGTGATGAGCCCTCCTTCTAGTGCCAAACTGTTGTTAAATGAAAATTAACAACTACATGATAATCAAAGATTTATGGTAAATTCATGATAGATTAACAAAGACTGTATGATAAGCTGTATGGAAAGCTGAATGAAACAAAATCCGTTAAATGTCGTTGTCTATTTCTTCTATCTGGCTGGAGAATTTTCATTCTCCTTTTATATTTATTTACGACATTTATCTGAAATGTAATCGTTACGTGGGAATAGTCAACGGCGGCTAATTGCCATTCATCCTGGTAGCATGCCACTTGGCCAGGCGTAATGATGAGTTGTGCTGAGTTGGCACCGCCTTATGGTGACGATTTGGCAAGTCATAGATATCGGCTTGTGTAGTTATAACCGATATGTCATATCCGACATGTAGTAACCGACATGTCATAACCAACATGAGATATCGGTCAATCGACGAAGATGTCGGTTTTTGATAAATTTTTACCCGATATGTGATTGTCTTGAGACCTGTGAAGAGATCATCTACTTGTACGAATTTAATCATCCTCCTACTGAGCATAATCATCTGATCAGCATCGCTTAACTTAGTTTACTGAAGACGATGTCAAAAGTCATGATTTATAAATTTTTGAGCATAGACAAAGTAATATGTTTATAACTGAAAAAACATAAATCAGCACTTACCCATAGTCGACGAGGCGTGAGAATGACCATTCAGGTTTTCTGAAAATTTCTGACTCGTGAAAATTTTCAGAGACGCAAAAACGTGCTCTGATACCATCTGTAACACCCCGCTATTTACTGAAATTCAGAGTACGCTTTTTCGCAAATTTTCTAAATAAAATAAATAAATAAAGTATTTCTTTTGCGGAATCTGATTCGGGGTGCTACCGTAAAATCCGACTTAGTCTGAAAACTGTTAATTTTAAACTGATACTAAAAACGGTTATCTAATATATTAACCGACTAGGTCAGATCAAAAGATGATTTAAAGTACTGAAACTGTAGCGGAAACATTAGCGTAGCCAAAACATAACATGTACATATAAACAAATATCCTGAACAGCTCGTCAGCTCACTCCTCGTCCCCGACTCTGTGACCTAAAAAACATGAAATACGTGGGGGCGTGAGCACCAAAACACTGTGCTCCGCAGAAACTCATACTGAAGTAAACAGTGAAAATGATAACAATATCATGATCCTGGCATATATAACTGAATTGAACTGAAACTGATAACAGATATCTGATACCGGTACTGAATAATCTGATACTGATCTCGTGACATACGTCACCTGTCTGAAACTGAACATCTGCCGGCATAAGCCGACACCATGTGCACACTCTAGTGGGCAGATTAAGGCCACTAGAACCCACAATGGACCGGTGACCATTCCGAGCGGATACTGATAATACATACCACAAATATGGTAGCGTAATTATAATCAATGTAGTACATAGTCTGAGTCCCCACCTGAACTGCTGATCTGAAAATGTAAGTGCTGATTGCCTGTAAAATTGACATATATAAACAAATACTAAGTACTATGCTCAGACTGATTAAAATAGCTGTTAAGATGCTCGACACGATCTGAATAGCTGACTGGAACCACCTCGGGGTCTAACTTAACTGATAAGAAAAACTGGACTGAACTTGTACTGCTAAATTGAACTGAACTGACTGCACATGACTGATCGTGACTGAACTGATTGAACTGAAAATTCAACTGAAATACTGAACTGAACTGACTAACAGACTAGACTGAAAATATTGAACTGATAACTTAACTGATTACACTGAACTGACTGATTGGACCTGGAACTTTAACTAAAAAATGAGACTTAAACATGAACAGGGACTAAAATATAAAAATATAGGCTGAACCGGTCCAACCGGTCTGAACCGGACTGCACCGGTCCGGACTGGACCGCCGGTCTGCTGAGCTGGGCGGTCGGGCGCTGGCTCGGCCAGCGGGCCTGCC